AGATGACGTTTAAGTTGCAGATCACAAATTTCTTTTCGTGGCGACCTTTCTATATTAATTCATTTCGCTCATTTAATAGTTTAAAAGATGATGTAATGATATGGTATTTTTCCGTTAAACGAAGGTTACATAACTTTTTTGCAGGTTTAAAAAGTTCTGCCCTATCAATAATTTTTCACGTAAAAATAGGATTTGAAAATCCCTTTTTTTTCTTTTTACAGATATATTAAGAAAGTTCTGTGGCGTTAGCTTTACTTTCGTATAGAAATGAATTCTTATGCTTGTACCAGCGATCTTTAAATGTGTGCTTTGTTAAACCAATATAATTTAAACCAATATCCTGTGGTGATGTTTTTACATTGCAGACATAAATTATATTTTTACAAAGACACTTACCTTGCAAAGGACATTGTAAAGGTTGCCAGCAGTTACACGTTGAAGCAGCTGTGTTGGAAACATTAGATCATACTTTTTTATTGAGTGAGTTAAAAATATTGGTAAAGTTTGAAAGACAGCTTCAACATACTTTTAAAATATTCCTATTAAAAATTTTGCTAAACTTATGTGTTTTTGAAAAACGGAGGATTAAGCCAAATAATGTTTCGTGATCTTGATTTTGATTTTGGTGGGGCGAGATTTCTTTAGAAAGTAATATTTTCATTGAACCCACTTGCTGCTAACGCATTGTTATAAAACGATGTTGCTCTATCGAAAATTTCTTTGCTAGATAAATTATTGCTTCTACGGTTAGATATCATAGTTGGTATGGATTTAATTATACTAGGAGGTTAAAATTTACGTTGATGTATAATGGGTAGTCACCTGGTTTTCTGTATGGCTGGAAAGTACTTTCTAACAGGTTGAAGGTAACATCAAGAAAGTTTACAACTTTTAAGTTGCTTTTGATAGTAAGTTTTAATTTAAATTTGTCCTTTAAAAAAGATTAACGATGTTTTTCTTTATCCTCTCTGATTGTGGTCCATTAATTTCATGAAAACAACAAAATCCATCATCTCTATATAATCCAACGGTTTTCAACCCATAGTCTTGACTTAAAGTATGTAAAATAAAGAATCCAACTAACCTACACACCTCAGCCCCATCACACACCTCAGCCCCATCACACACCACAGCCCCATCACACCTACACACCTCAGCCCCATCGTAACTTCCCATACTGACGTCAAAATCAGGATCAACAAGTTCTTTAACCCAAATACTATTGTCTTAAGTAAACAGTAATGATTTTCTTGAGTAATTGATAATTTCTAATGTTTTTTCTGAAATTTGAAGTAACTCTTTACAAATAGAAGGATAGAACTCTTCGGTATCAATCTGGATGAAAGTGTAGTTACGTTTGACTTTAATATTGTTGGTCCAATTTATAACGCCATCCGTATTATGCCATTAATTTACAAGGGTGGTTTTTCCCACTTTATTGTAAATGTTTTCCAGTAAAATTTTACTAACCTTTCCAAGTTCTGGTTTAGATGGATTAATTAATCGACATTAAGTATTGTTGACAAAATCATCTTTGTGATCCTTTATATTTATAAATGCGGTATTTATTGCAAGATATTCCATCCTGTTGTCAATACCTAAGTTTTAAGCAATTACTTTAGCCGCATTATTAATGTTATTATATAACGAACTATCAGATTTTTTGTAAGTTCTTGTTACGTTTTTATTGAAATGTTTATTGTAAGAAGATATTTCAAGCTCGTAAATATTATATGATTTATGTGCAAAAAGAAATATTTTTTCTGATGATATAATTTTAAAAATGTCATTATTTAGCTGTTTTGAAACTAGTTGTAGGAGTTAGTAAATGAAATATTTTGTATCATTTTAAGTAGATTGTTTTCGAAATTTTCTAGATCCGGATGTTGCGCTGAACATTTTCTTATTTTAAAACTAATAAAATACCATACCAGAAAAATACCATATCGGAAATATACCATATCATTACATCATCTTTGAAACTATAAAGTAAGCGAAATGAATTAATATCGAAATATCGCCAAGAAAACAAAACTGCTATCTGCAACTTTCACGTTGTCTAAGCAAACGCTGTATTGTATTTTGTATACAATTTTTGTTGTTGTTATGGTTTATAACGTCTCATGATCACATATAGCGTGAAACTCTGAGTTATGTTACAAATTTAGTTTTATTATTATTTTAATATAATATATATATATATATATATATATATATATATATATATATATATATATATATATATATATATATATATATATATATATATATATATATATATATATATACCTTAAAAATTTTCATTTTTTTGTTATACAATCTGTTTATAATTTGTAAATTGACATCGATTGAGCATAAAACTTATTTTAAAATATATTTTGTGCTATTAATATTGAGCTATTAATATTGGGGTCAACGACCCCAATAGGTCACCGTCGTTGACCTATTGGAGTCAACCAAATAGGTCAACATCGTCAACGTCGTCAACCAATAGGTCAACGTCGTCAACGTCGTAAATGTTATGCGTTCTTGCGTTTTAAACAAAATAAAAAGGTTTTCAAAACACTATATGACATAATCACGGTCATCTTCATTGAAATTATATTCATTTGGCGAACACTAATGATATTGTATTTCCAAAGACTCTCATTTTCTTTAAATAGTTTACCTTTACTTTAATGGTGTTTTTCTTTAAATCCAACTAAAGGCACTGTAACAATATTTACCATGCCCCGCCACGACCGAACACATCCGTTTTCCCTCAAAGGTATGTCATTGTATGGCCGATGACACGAGTTTTGAAGTGGAGTGACACATTCGTCTATTTCTAAAAAAATTTCTCTATATCTACAATTTATTTTACCTATATAAAACTTTTTACATAAACACTCTAGTTTGTAGACTTCTGGATAAAAGTTGATAAAAGTTGAATATTGCTTTTTTGAGTTAATTATTGTTTAGAGGTTTTTGGTAATTTGAAAACTGGAGTACATTCTAAAGATCTAAATATATATTTTTTAAATATGAAACTCATATTTGTTACCCAAGGTAATAATAAGTATAAGTAAATAAATAACAAGATGAGTTTATATCCTAAAAACTGTTGTTTTAACTTAATTTTAAGTTACAAAATAACTTTAAAGAAACCGTGAAAAAAACCCGGAAATTAAAAGGCAAATATAAAAGCCAAGAATACAATATAACAGCGACTTAAGTAAAAAAAAATTCAAAAATTGGTCCCAAAATTTTTTTTTAATAACCTTGCCATCTCGTATTATGTATTAATATTTTGACACCAGTTAACAAGAATAATCAGTAAATTTTTTTAAGTTTATAAATATTTAGCAATTAAATAATGATACCAAAATCTGTTGTTGTTCTTTGTGTTGTACTTGTTGGTGTTGTTAATGGTGATTGCGTTGTTTGACCTAAAGTAAAAAAAGTTAAAGAGAATTTTTAAATAACAGTATATCATTTAAAGTACTTACTACTTAAATTAAAAAACAAGTTTTGCAAGTAATTTAAATGTAATTATTTTAGCGTTTCATTTTCATTTAATAAAATACACTTTCTCTAACCTGAGCCGATTTTTATCAAAATCATAAGAGATTTGCGACGGGTAACAATTCAATTGAAATAATAAACAAAAATTTAGTTTTTTGGGTTCTTAACATTTTATTTTGCTAAATATCAATAATAGATACCCAGCAAACAAAAATTGATTCCAAAATAATCAATATTTAGTAAAAATTGATCAAAAAATTAAACAAACGTTTAACGGCCTATTATTGACTAAAATACGACGCTTGAGTTTTAAATGTATATTTCAAACTTTTTTATATATATCTTTACTAAACGTCATTTAAACATTTAGAGTATCACTTAAAATTTTATATTGAAATCTTTAATGGACCTTAAGTAAACATAAACTACTTGCAATAAAAAGCGATTACATTAAACATTAAGAAACGAAACTCAATAATTTTTAGACTAATTTTTTCGGTAAAAAAAAAAAATTAATAATCTCAAAAAAGAAAGTTAATCTGAAGTTTTTTTGTTTCATAAATTTATTTGTGATTATTTTTTAGCTGATGTACCGTTAAACTGAAGGTGGTATTAAAGTTTACAAAATTTGTTCTGGCTGATTTTTTCTATGAAAAAACAATATGTGTGCCATGAATGTAATCTGTTTTTCATGGCGTATCAATGAAAGTTTGGTGTATTGGCCAAATCACTTGCAAGCATCTTGCCTATAGGCTGCAGTACGTAATGTCACGCTTTAAAAAGTAACTGAAAGCAGCTGAAAACAAGAATTTCTTGGTAATTGTGTTATTTACAATATTGTTTTTGTTTTATTTACAGTATTGTCTTTGTATTTTATCTAAACAGCTATGTTTGACTCAAATATAGTAAATGTTGATTGTTTAGTATGGTTTCATCTCTTCTTTATACTTTTTTTTTGACAGTTAAGAGACTGCCTTAGAACGGAATTATCTGGGCCTCCAGCTTAACCGGATGTAGGTTACAAAAAAAGTGGCACTGATGAGATTGTCTCTCAGTTTCTCAAAGATCGAAGAAATCTTTAGTGTTTTAGGGTTAAGTGATTCCATCAGAGCTTTGCCGTACTGTCTCTTTGGAATTATTGAATTTATTTGCCGGGTATAGAGGAAAAAAGATCTTCTAAATCTAGAAGAAAAATTATGACAGACACCATATGAATCAACAGTATATATCAGCTATTTGATATTAGTTAATAGTTTTTTGAAACAATACAATGTACTATTAAAGTTTCTAATTTTTAAAATGTATGATACATTTATATGAAACATACAAACAAATGATACAATATGATACGTGATTGACTATAATTATAATGATACAATATGATACGTGATTGACTACTAATCTCAGATATCTTTGACATCTGTTAGGTTTATTCACCGCTACAGATGTCATAATCTATTTATAACCAATTGCTTTTACTCTTCCTTAATGTCATATTTTAATAAGAATCACATTATTAAAAACCGTCTAAAACATACACATGAGGAACCATTATACTTTTAGTACAACCAATTATATTACATTTGTTTTCTTATTTTAAATAAACTTTCTTACTTTAGTTGGAGGAGATAGGAAACAACTTACAGCGGCAATCTTAATACAGCTAATGGCCAAAGAAGTATGTTTTTCATACTCAGTGTATGGAATGAAACAAAAACGTCCTGCAAGGTCGTTATAGGTAAAGCACAATATTTGTATTCTACATGCCATTTCCTTTTAATAAACAAATATTTTAATAAAAGCTAATTATTTTACAATATTTATACGTGAAAAGTTATATATTTCAAAATTATATTGTGATAATATTTAAAAAACATTTTGTAGAGTTGCGTTTAGTCATTTATCGTCGTATTCGTTCATTTCAAAATTACTACTGACAAAAGTATTAAAGAAAAAATTGGCAGCTTTCTGGCGACGGCCATTAATAGAGATTACAAAAGAAAAATAGACCCGTAACTGAGCAACGCCCAATATTGAAATAAGTATTACCAAAATAATAAAAGTTGATGCCTACTATCTCATAGTGAGAGTATAATGCAGTAGTTATATATATATATATATATATATATATATATATATATATATATATATATATATATATATATATATATATATATATATATATATATATATATATATATATATATATATATTATATATATATATATATATATATATATATATATACATATTTTTTTGTACGTGTATTTAAATAAAATTGATTTTATCTTGTTTTTGGAAAACTCTATACCTCTTATTTTCATTTGTATCTAATTCATATAACTTCAAATAAATTTAATCATTTCGAATTTTTTTTTCTTGAAGCGTGTTCTATGATTAATGTCATCTCCGAGACTATAACTTGTTTAACTTAAAAGAATAATGCAGCTTAGTACAATAGTATCACTTAAACAAGAAAACAATTAAAAATTTTAATTGTTACAAATTTGCAGAAAGCAATAGTTTTTACTATTTTTTAATAGTAAAAATTTAATCGAAAATACTCAATATATTGCCTTAATTTAGTTATATATATTATATATATCAGGATAATATTGTATACTTTATTAGGCCAATATTGGCCAGTATAATATCCCCATTATTGACGCGATATTATTAACAGTATTGGCGAAATATTATAAAGAATATCAAGTGAATGTTACAGTGTAAACATTTTGCCAATATTGGCCAATATTGACTTTACAATATTGGTGCAATATTGTAGCGCCAATATTGGACGAATTTAGCAAAATGTTCACATTGCAACATTGGCCAGATATAGTTTACAATACTGCGCCAATATTGTAAACAGTATCGCCCCAATATTGCGCCAATATTGTTTGCTACGAGTTTACATTTAAAACTCGTAGCAAACAATATTGGCGCAATATTGTTTGCTACGAGTTTTAAATGTACTCGTAGCAAACTTTTGGACAATATGATTTTTGTATGGATTACATTTAGCAGCCTCTAGCTAAGATTTTGAGTCACCGTCACCAATATAATAAGCATAACGTAAGTTTCTGTCTGACTCTGATGATGTAAAATATTCAACAATTCAAGCTGCCTCCATTGCGCCTGATGAGCCCTTATGGTTAATGCTACATTCACCTGTACTAAGAAACTAATCATATTCATCAGTGCCTCTTTTAGTTTCCCATTTATCACATTGATGGCATACTTTAGATTTATTACCACGTTAAAATTTATGATTGCAGATGAGACACCAATTTCTAATGTGTCTCTAGCAACAAAAATATCCTTTGGACATCTTTTCTTAATAATTCCATTTAAGGATTCATTGTTGTTTTGTGTTTGTCCATGCAAACACTTACTTAATAAACCATCATCACTTAAACTAAGAAATATTGGTTTTATTATGTCTCTTACAACAACGGGTAGTTCTGGTTTTTCTTTATACAGGGCTGTACCATTTATTTTATCAGACTGGTATTTACTCCAACTTTCAGGGGTTCTTGGACACATTTGGTGGCGACTATATAATGTAAGTGCATCTGAACAGTGGTGAAGTGCTACACCAATTGCTTTTTTAAACTGGTAAACTGTTTCACCATTACATTGACGTACTGCAATTCCAAAATAATTTTGAAGTTTATTAATTTCTTTTTCGGTAAGACGATTTTTTCCACAAAGTGGTTTCCCATCAGACAGAAGTCTGCTACCAACTCTTTTTTGTATGTGTCCAACACATTCAAACTTTTGGACAATATGATTTTTGTATGGATTACATTTAGCAGCCTCTAGCTAAGATTTTGAGTCACCGTCACCAATATAATAAGCATAACGTAAGTTTCTGTCTGACTCTGATGATGTAAAATATTCAACAATTCAAGCTGCCTCCATTGCGCCTGATGAGCCCTTATGGTTAATGCTACATTCACCTGTACTAAGAAACTAATCATATTCATCAGTGCCTCTTTTAGTTTCCCATTTATCACATTGATGGCATACTTTAGATTTAATGCGATAGTCAATACATTTTCCAGTATCAACTGAAATTATAGTTACAACACCATTTAAAGAAGAGAATCCTTCCTTTTTTCAGGTGCCATCACATGAAACTGTAATATCTGTCTTATTCTCACCAAGACCTTGCTTAATCTCAACAGCTGCTTTATTCATAAAGTTTAAAGCAACTTGCTTATAAGCCACTAATATAATCCTTTGAATATCATGAAATGTTTTTTTATGCATTGGTGGAGGTAAACTCATAAAACCGCAAAAGGTTATTAATACAGCATGCGCCTTTCCTATTTCCCTCATAGCAATAATGGATCTCATATTTACATCCGATTGATATTGCCCACCAGATTTATCATCAATTTCTTGGCTAGTGTAAACCTTTTTACTCCATGAGCAGACTGAGGCTGTACATGTAAACTCTAATAAAACAGACAGTCCTTTCTTTCTTGATAAATCTGTAGAAAGTTCAATACTCCTTGATTGACAATGAGGGCACATAGAAATTTCAACTATGATACTATACAAAACAAAGCTATCCAACACGATGTAACAGTGTGGAAAATTCGATTCGTTATTAGGTAATGAAGTTTGTTTTGTTGATACTGTTGTTGCTTTATGATTTAATAATGTAAGTTTCTATGATGAAGTTGAAGCATTTAAATTACTTGTTGAAGGTATGTTATTAACAAAACTATTTTCCGACTCAATGTTGGGTTCAGGAGCTTTAAAAAAACTTTTGCCATGAAAACGTCGTTTTTTGAAAATTCTTGATCCTTCTGGCTTTCGTCTTTTTTTCAGCATAAAGTTTTTTATTTCCATACTTATTATTTTTTTTATAAATTTGAATAATAACCATAATCATCTAACTGAATACACAAATAGGACTTCTAGCACGAGTCAAATATTTTATAGTAAATTAAGAACTATAATAATATAAATACAAAATATATCTGCCAGCAGCATACTTCTATTTAATCTTTTTGTATAATACTAAAGCATACTTCTATTTAATCTTTTTGAATATACTTCAAGTTATATTTTTGGTTATACTTCAAAACTACAAGTGGATGTCCTAGATTACTTTTTGATGCTTACTAATGATTAAAACAAGTTTCAAGTAGGCTTTGTCTTTAAAATTTTTTTTAAAGACAAAGCCTTCTTGAAACTTGTCTAAACGGATGGTCGACCAAATCTGAACGTTTTTTTAAAACGTTCTTTTGATGTTTATTAGATGTTTGTGTTTTTACTAGTAAAAAAAAAAAAATAGAAAACTCAAATAAATACAAAAAAAAATAAAAATAACCACTAATAATAATTATAAAAAACAAGTTACAAAAATTCATAGAGTCAAACATGTTAAGTTTTATTGATACAAAAAAAGTTGTAAACAATTTTATTTGTTCAACCTATAATTTTTTCTACTTGGTATATATTATAAAACAAACACTATACTACATATATATGGATATTCGTCTGAAAGACCCGAGCAATCAAAGTCCCAATCACATTTCCAATACTTTGAAATGCATTTGCCATTAAAGCATTGATATTGATTATAAGTGCACCCTGAAAAAAAAAATTGTCTATTTATTGTATTTTATTTTTCAAGAAAAAAAACTATTATTTGTATTTAGATATTTCAAGGTTATTTGTTTAAAAATTATAAACCGTTTTTTATTTTTGGCAATTCACACTTTAATTAGATAATTTATTTTTTTACTATGCTATATGTTATTGCTGTTGCTTAAGTATAAGAAATAAAATGTATATTATTTGTTTTAGTTAAATCATAAGCATTGTTTTAAATGAAACTAATGTAAATAATTGGAAATCTGTAATGCTTTACCCTTGTTTATTTAAAGTCCATATGATTATAAGTCCATAATCATATGGACTTTTATTTTGCATTTTTAAATTGATTTTTTTTTAATACTATGTTTTGTTAGTTTTTTATATCATTAAAAAAAAAACAATGAAGGAAGGTTTGCAAAAGTCTATAATAATCTTGCGTTAGTTTTTTACGATATAATTATTGGTATAAAAAAAGTGAGAAGTGGCGCCACTAAGTGAAGAGAAAAATCTGGAGCCAGGAAGAAAATCAAAAGTAAACTAACACAATTTTTGAAACCAGCATTTCAACCTGGAAGTGTTTTGATTCCAACAGAAACTAAAAAAAACTATAGTTTTCATTTATTTAAATACTAGAGTAGAGTCAAATAGATTGATAAGTAAGTCTTCATTAAGCAGCATAACAATTTCTTCTATTTTTCTCAGGGTTAATCTTTCTGATTGATGTTTTTGACGCACAGAAGAGTGACATTGTTAAACGTTGTTAAACGTGGTTTTAAAAAGATTGAAATTGATTTTACATTCAATTTATAAACGTAGACAATTTTCACCGAAATATTATAACTGCAAGATGCAGAGAAACCTTTATACAGACATGACTCAT